AAACAGTAGAGCCATCATTGCAATTTCTTCACAGTTATTTTTTGTTTTGCAACATCCCATCACCTTCATTTCTGGCTCATGTGATGCAAGGGTTTCCCATGACGACATTTTCTGCAGTGGCGGTTGGTAAACAGCCGGGGATCACGTGCACGAGGCATGCGGAAGATTGGTGATGGTGGCCTGGTGGGTTCTGGTCTTTTGACTGCCGATGAGTTTTCAAAAATCTTAAGCTACTAAGTGATGCTCTTTATGTCCCAATCTTATATGGTTTAAGAGTGGTATAGAGAGGTGATCTGTATTCTTTCATTGCAACTATTTCAACATAACGCCTATTCATGCGCACTGATCCTGGTAACGCAGAATCCTCTCTTTTGCTTTGCTGTTTTCGCTGCTTACTGCCAATTTTTAGCTCCACTAGCTATATGAACGAACTGGCAGAGGTTTACCACAAGATCCATTTTCTTCGACAACCCAAAGCAAAGTTGATTACGGTGTATAAAATCGAGAGCGCTCTTGTTTGAAATGTTGAATTATTTTAAAGTTTGTCAGCATCCACTTTTCTAGGGGAACAGGGCTTCACATTGCCTCGCAACGATTAGTTTCTTTTGCGGCGAAGAACTGGTAAGGTCTGGTTCTCTGAGCTATTTATCTGTGTAGGAAAATCTTCCTTAAATGTAAATCAGTTTTTGATGTGGTACGCTATTTTGGTTTCCTCGTACAAACTATTATCGTTAAAGCTTTTCCTTTTCTTGCTATAAACAGCCAATACCAATAACTGCTGAATAGTTCAGCAGTATTGATGTTCCATGCTGGGTAAAACGATAAACGGTTTTTATGTGGAAATGGTTGACAAATGTAAGCTGAATTCAGGATCAACGTTTGCAGGAAAATCATTTATTCAGTATCAGATTTGTGCATTGCACGATGTTTTGCATTGCACTCATGAACGGTGGCTGTTTTAAAGTGTGTTGCTACTGCACACGCCGTTTGAATATCTATCATCGATCGTCAACCAATATTTAATCAGTGAATACCAATTGCACGGGGAATTACATTCGTAATGGGATATTTGCCACAGAGATATAGGCGGTGCCATATACATATTCATTGAATTCACTTTTGCACTATTGCGCTCTTACAACCACAATTGGAGTGAGGTGGGCAAGTTTTCCCCGTGCAAACTTCTCCTGTGGTTTACCCATCGTAGCGCCCCTCTCCTCTCCAGATCTTTTCCTAAGAACAACCTGATCAGTGAGTAGAGATGAGCGAGCAGAAAATGTTGCTAAATTATGTTAGCGCCATAAATATATGTTATAGAATTTACAGCGAATTTAAAGCAAATATTGCATCAAAATTTTGTGGGTTGGTGCCACCCCAGAATGAATTTCATGTTCATGATCAGGAGCCTCGATAACCCTCTCGTAGAAAGTTTCAGGGAAACAAATTTTGGTCTCATCTCACATCTACTGGGGTTATAGTAGTGGCAGTCGTGCCGAGTTTTTCGTCGAGACTGTGCGCATTGTGAGTGTTGTTCCAGTTCTGTTGCGGTTCTCATAGTGTAGTGTACTGGTTTTGTGCTTTGCTTTTGGTTTCTGGCGGTTTCGCCTGTAATTTAGTTTTCTTCAGCCTGGATCTTGTTTTGGCAGCAGAGTCAGTGTATCATTTCGCACATATTCACTCTTCGCGGCATGCGATGTAGCATGTTGGCGATCCGAGTTGTACCTGTCCGCTCCACCTATCTGTTTCAGCCTTAAAAAATTGGCTTCAGAAGTATTGAAAAAGGCATTTCGCAAAGGTACTTTACTTGTAATTCGGCGCACTTTTAGTATCCTAAAGTGACGTGTATTTTTTGTGGTGTCTAATAACAAAAGCGCAAAAAACACATCAGTTACCTCTTCCTCTCTTCTATTTTTCCATTTTCTTTGCTTTGATGTCTAATGTAGGTGAAAAATCAAATGCAAGTGAAAATGTGCTGCCTTCAATTATACTTGTTGCACGGTAGGCGCAGTGCTTGAGATTAGATCATGCTTTGCGTTCCTTTTTCTTTTTCCATTGACTAGATACTCATCGATCGCAGAATTGCGTGGTCGATATCTATATTCTCGACACTTGAAACTTCAAATCATGATCCGCTTTACCGCTTTTCTTCGCGAAGCGAGAGACGTCCGATGTGCTCGTGACCACTCGTTCGGCTCGGCTAGAAAAATAGGGGCTACTAATCATTCGGTTTGATCTGCAGTTGCACTGGGCTCACCACTTATAGGAAGGTTAACGGATCCCTGATCTTGACCTCTTTTGGCATTCTTATGTTTGTGTAACCAAGCAGTAATCAAGTTTTGAGATGCAACATAGTTATTGGTCCTTCTAAGCTGCATCTCTCGTTTCTTTAATCTTTCTTGCATCAAAGAGGAGTTCTGTAATAAGTTCACTAATAGGACACCTTTGCCAGCGTTGGCCGTTGTGATTGTGAAGTACATTATTGGCATGACGTTTGTGTGATTTAGAGTCATTTGCACTGAGTATATAAAAGGAAGTTCATTCTGGGCAGTTTTTGGGATGCCTGGAATAGGAAATTCGTGGGAACGCTAAGACAATCTACTAAGAACCAAAATTTACCATATATTTTTGGCCAGCTTGACTAAGCTTGCCACTGCGTGCATGTCAAAGAAGGCTTTAGTGAAACTGAGTATAACCGGACTTTTGTGTTCAGTAACATGCTGCTTTCAAGAGATTTGACTTATGTTATTAACGGCACGGTGGTGCTATAGCAGGTATTTCCTGTAGCTCGCCATTACTCATAGAGATCCACAATTTTTTATTGAAAACTGATACTGTCCAATGGAAGAATAGGTCTTGGACATCTGTGTATTAGTGCGAACGTTTAGGCTTCAGCCGCTAGCGTGAATATATACCATGCTTCGGTTTTGGAATGGTTTGGCGGTTGAATAACTTTTTATGCTGGTGTCATCGAAACAAAAACACCAACACTTATCGTTCCTAAAAAACCTCGACCATCTTAAGAGGCTGAGCAGATCGCCATTTGAATTGATCTTGATGGTAGAGACGACATCACAAATGAAGTGACATGTTTTCCTTATTGCGCATCTGGGTAACAATTTTCGTGACCACTCCTTTATCAAGCTAATCGCTCTTATCAGCCGATACCACTTGTCACTCTTTGTCACCCACCAGATATATTCCCGTCCCACCCTCTACGTCATTTCTAACCTACGAGACGGATCCTCATCGCTGCTGGGCTGCGCCAGGGTGAATAACGGTCGAGGAATTCCTCGACCATCTCTCTGCTGTGCGAGAGTAGAGCCGATAGTGAATGTACGCGCGGAGAGCACAGACGGCTCGCGGGTGGCGAGAGTGAATGTCCGCGCGCGAGAACGTAAAGGATCAGGCGAAAATCCTCGACGTGCCGTTGAGGAATCCTCAAGCAATATTCACCCTGGGCCGCGCCCTATTAATTCCGTGACGCTTGCGCTCTGAAGTGCTTTATCAGCCTTTATCAGTTGTTATCACTTTCGGTTATCCATCACCAATATCTCCGTCCCACACCACAAAACACTTGTGAATAAAAAACATGTAATGCCAACGCGGACGCCACAAGGGAATTACGAATTTTCCGTTCCAATGAAACTTATCATCCTTTATTAGTTTGTACCACTTCTAATCACGAACCAGTAATGTCCCCCTTCCCTTCCCAAAATAATGCTTGCAAATATGGACGCTCTAATGTCACTATGAACGACAAAAGTATGCCGGCAACATCTGCCATGTGGCGCTCCACCCGTCAGCCTTACTCAGACTGATAATCCCTCTTCGATCGCCTACGCGGCCGCATGTATCCTATCCCATACTCGCCATACCATATATAATTACGGCCGCCCTAACAGTAGTGTCCCCTTGCCCTTCCCAAATAATGCTTGTGCAAATATGGACGCCTCTACATGTCAGATGAACGGACAAAAGTATGCCGGCGACAATTGCCCTGTGGCGCACCGTTAGCCTTAATCAGCTGATATCACTTTCGATCGCCTACCGGCCATGTTCCTATCCCTACTCACATACCATATATAATTACGGACGCCCTAATGACAACATGAGCGACAAAACGACGTTGGTAACTCTTGCATTCTAGCCCCTCTTATCAGCTATTATCAGTCGTTATCAGTTCCTATCACGTACCACTTGTGTCCCCATCCCACCCCCTATAACATATGTAAGAACCACTGCGCTATCGTTGCTGTGACTCGAGCTATGAATTTCCGGTCAAACACACACACAGACGCACAGACATACCATCAGACACACTTAACCGATCATATATGTATATAGTAGAATACCACTACCGCTGTACCGTGCATCATTTGTAGGACAGGGTAGCCTGTTGAACCGTAGTGCACTTCCCATCTCTTTTTCTTTCTTCTACCCCTCAGAGACTTCCACAGTATTTGTGTTCCTTCAGCATTCCTCTACTATATGCAGAAAAAAGTCCATGATAATGGCTACTCTCTCAACGAACTTTCTGGCTAGTTTTGTTTTGCCTGAGTAGGGAGAGACATATAAATGATCTCCCTCTGCATCTCTCTTTTGCAGCTTCTTATTCCTTATGAATGTTTGTTGTTTATTCGAAAATGGTCTAGTTTGGTTTAAAGCTGTCGGTAGCGTCGGGCTGTTCGTTCGTCTGCTATCACTGTGCCGAAACAGGGATTATTGGTTCAAATCGCGTAGTTCGCATGTACGTTTATGCGCATTCGAAATGTACTATTTTTATGCAGCGTTGTTCCACGTTTGCATGATATATGCCGAAATGCTTCCACACACGATCAAATCTAGCATTTAAACTTTTGTAATCTTCCGTCATGTTCGTCATTTGTCTCATTATTTTTTTGAATTCGAGATTAATGGAAGCTCGTATAAACCTTATTTTTATACGTCTTCATATTGCAATTTCAGAGCTTTCCTATGTGAGGAGCTTTTACAGTATAACTATGAGTTTTCTCAATCTTCGTGCTTTACGAATCCAGAAAGCGACAACCGTCGCGGATCTTTCCGACGAGGCTCTTATAAAAGTGTTCCAAAGGTTAGTTTTTTCGAACTTTATCTCTTTTTATGTTGAAATTTGGCTGTCTGGCTTAGTTCCATCATTACATTGCTGAGAATTCGAGGCATGAGCCACAAGTTGAGCGTGATTCGAATGGAGCATGTAGCTCTAGTTGTTTTCCCCACTACTTTTATCTCATTGCCACCCCTTCACCTCATTGTTCTGCATAGTCATAGTCTTTCGTTATTTTTTCAGCGCGTGTGGAGTCTCCCAGCCTATGGTGGCAGTAAATTGTTTTTTCTCATATAATATGTTTTACACAACATTTTCTGGAAACCGTTGTAGGTGCGACAATGTGACAATATTACGATGTTCGAACGTGTGTCGTCGCTGGCGCGCTTTGATTTTCACGGAGGAGCGAAAACCGCAGTCTGTGGTTCGTCGTGCACAGGACACAGTTGGAATCTTCATCGTCGATCGAAGGAGGTAGCATATTGTTCGCACATATTCTTTAACATTTTCAATTTTTCTGGTATACTAGCCTACTTTCAGGGCAATCCTTGAGAAAATATGTCCTGGTTCTGAGCCGACGAAACTAACAGCTACTCGTAGTGAATGTTCACTACTTATAACGCCTTCGATTCGAACACCGAGGATCACTCGAAGTTCTCATAATGATGCTGTTAGTTTCCTCTTCATTATTTCTACTGGTATACCTTCTCCGCTATGCTCATGATGTATGAAATATTAGAAAAGCTTGCCGAAGTTCTAATATTAAGCCTAAATTTCTTCTTGGAATTATATGAAAGTCTTCCTGCTAATAGGAAAGGGGTTTTTGGTATGAATTGAGCGATAACTTCATAGGTCGTGCTTCTCACCACTTCTTTCTTCTACTTCTAAAGTTGGCAAAATCTCGTCCTCCGAACGGATTCATGAAAACCATTAATTGATCATCTGAACACTGTTAATTGATCATCAGATCACTGAGATTGGTAAAGCTAGGCAGACGGCTAGCATTTGGTTAGGAGGATTCGAAGAATCAGTCTTGTAGGCTAGGGAATCTTTACAATTTTTCGTTCTTTCTGTGAGCCCATTTTTAGATAATAATTTGACGCGGTTCTGTCATCATTGCTCACTTTTGGTTTGCTTTTCGAAGGTATTGAGATTACTTGGATATTAAAATCGGTCTTTTAGATTTCTGCTCTCATGTTAGTTATCAATTAAAATAGTCTGAGTGAAAGAAAAATCAGCGAACATTGCCCTTGGAGTTCATCTTAGACGCCAAATCGGGTCAAATTGAAGTGCAAGAGCTTGATTGAGAACATACGGTAAATGAAGTAGTGTAGTCTAGGGCCGCTCGGCATGGATTGTTACCCTCTTACAATTGCAAATTAGTAGTTGGTTAGCCAGGGCGGAAGTGGTGTAGTGGCAAGTGGCACGCTTACCACGCGAGCGGTCCGGGGATCAAATCCTGGGTCGTGAGTCGCCCGGGCCAACCAAGCCTTCCATCCCTCCGGGGTCGGTTAATTGGTACCAGACTTGTCTGGGAGGATAAAAACACTGACTTGTACATCGGCTGGCCCCCGCAAGTCATTGTATAGGCCACATCGCATTCAAACGCCACTACGAATGTACAAATGGAAGTAGAATGCGTGCCGCATCCCAAAAAGGGATTGATCAACGGCAAATGCTTTATCCTTCATGCTTTACTTGGTCATAGCCCATTGGTGATATCGAGTTATAGTGTGAATTTCTGATTAGAGGGAAACTCAACTGCTCTCCCCTTGGAAACTCATCCCAGGGCATTGGTCATATGCAAAGCGGTGGATTTGTAGTGTTATCTGGGAACTCGCACAACCACACTGTTACAGCAACTCTACTTTTTTTCCTTTTTGAAAAGCTTAACAATACACGAAATGTGCCGTTCCGTCTGGACCCCATGCGTTATACGCAACACCCCGTGAACTTGAAGTTAAGGTTTTGCGGCACAGCAGGAAATTAAGCGTAGAACTTTTAGAATTTTTGAATACTACAACCTATGATGACTAAAGCCACATTTTTGCGCTCCACTGTTCGGCCGCAGGCTTGAAAGAAAAGCACTACTCTCTAAATAAAGGAAATTTTGAATACCACTACTGACAAATTATTGTAGGAACTATTGATCCACATGTGACTATATCCCTTTACATAAACCCCATATCCCGTACACCCGTGGGAGTGGAGGGATGGGGTGGGGTGGATAGAGTTGGGATAAGAGAAGTTGCGCGTGGCTCACGATCACTGCTCTATTCGTTTGATATTGCGATGTCATGCTTTGTGTTGAAGTCTGTAATTAGGGCACACCCGTTGGCAAAACACGAAGTGTTCGTGATCCTAGTCAAACGCCTCCATTTTGTCTTCTATGCCAAACTTTCGCCGTGTTGTAAGGACTGATGTAGAAGGGTGCTGATCCCAGATTCCTACAGATTTGGTTGACGTTAGGCGCTCATACTTCGTTTGGTGATCTCGACAGTGTGTAAAATGTAAGCACTGGACCATTACTTTGGAAGAAATTCTCAATAGTTCTCGTTAGGAAATGGTTTGGCACATTTGAAGAGCATTTTCAACGTTTGCATCCAAAAACATGGCAAGTGTGCTTCGCATGTTGCGATGGCTCGTGACCCTGCTCCCTTTCAAAGGTCTTGCAACAGCTCATCCATCTGGCTGGTAGTTTTAGCTTCTCATAACTTGCGTGTGCTTTGTGGAAGCTTCCTTTGTTACCAACGATATAGCAGAATACTGCACAAGTCTCATGCTGTTTGTTTGTGTCCTTATGAGTTATTTCAGCCTTTCCAACTATTGTAGACATGCTTTTCATGGCTACATCTCAGCCCCAATTGTTTAATGCAGGCTTTTAAAAATCACCCGGATTCTGCACCATGCGCTAGAGTTGCGATTTCGGATCGTCATAATAGGTTTGATTTTCAGACTCCCAAGGAACCACCTATTCCCTTGGAAACCACCACGGTATTTATGGAAGATCAATTTGTAGATCAAACACAAGCTTCGTGGGCTTTCACATTTGACTTTTCAACCTGGGCGAGTAAGCATCACGTTGTTGAGGTGAGTAGGAAATATATTAGTTCTTGCTGAAATATGTTCCCTGGCATTGCAGCCATGTTTTTCAGGTATGTCTCCAGAACTTTTGTTCATTCCTTGACCGCGAACATCCACGGATGGAGTTTCCGGGTGGCAACGGACATGCAGATGGCAGCAGCCACGGAAGCTCACCACATAATGGTGCTATGGTATGTGACCTCTAATAGTGCGTGTACCAACAGTTGTACAAACTACTGTCTTTCGAATAGTTTGCTATACCACCGTTGTTCTTGCACGTGTCAAAAATCGCTACGAATTTTGTTACTACATGTTTAGCGGAGGTAGAGAGTAGTTGAAGCATTTCTTTCTTCTCTTCCAGAGCTCTGGGCTGAGGAGAATCTGACAATGTAGCGCTTTGTAGTGCACTCCAGGTTTTTCTCAGCCCATTTGCCTGATGTGTGGTGCTTCTGTTGGCATAGAACGAGCGCCTACTTATTGCTTCGCATCTGCAGCGTTTTTTGAGGTGTTCGTAGAGTGCATTGGTAGAATTCGCGTCACCGCGTGCCAGGCACAACCGAGTTCAATTGGGTTCGTCGGCGTTCTCGGCGGGTGGTGGTGTGGGCTGCAAAGGTTGCGATTTCGCGCGCGGCGACTGTGATTCAGGGTGTTTGTTGTAAATAGCGCGCGATGCAGCCATTTTTCGGCGTCTAGATATATCGGCGTGGGCTTATCCAATGGCAAGCTCCTGTTGAAAGTGGAATCAGAATGAATTAGATCGGGAATATCGATTAAACGGAAACGTTTTTCACCTCAATTGTTTCTCCTTGATGACAACCTTTTGAGCATTAAGGGTCTTCCTCACATGGCTCATTTTTCTCGAGTACTCATGTGTTCAACAACGAAATTTTCGAAGTCACTCTCTTTTCAAGTAGTGTTGAGCGTGGAAGGTGATACATGGAGTGGGCCAAAATTATGAGGACCGCGTGCGCGCGCGTCATATCCACTTTTTTCCGAGTCGCTCCATTTTCATCTCCTTTTCTGTGCACTATGTGAGAGGGTACAATGTCTTCTTCCTAATGAAACCAAATTTCATGCAGTTCTCAAAACTAGTGAAATAACAACATCTTTTACGTCAGTCCTCAAATTGAACTCACTAGGGGCTCTGGCACGTTACATCTAGCGGCAGCAGTCTAACGTATCAGGGAAGCTCTTATGAGCAACAGTTCAACTCTTCAATAAGTTTGGAAACCACAGATGGAAAATTCGGAGACTCGAAAGTTACAGTTACCACCAGGATAATTATCAGATGCAGAAACTAGGTCTCCCCTTGTCGACTTTCGTACTCCCAAAATGAAAAAATTGATGTGAAAACCCAGCCAGACACTCTAAAGACTCCACATCTGTAGTGGATAGAAAGCCACTCGAGTAGTCTACTTGGGACTTTTTACAGGACCGAGCACCCAAGAATAAAGCAAAAATTCTCTAAAAAGCGATTTTTCGAGTTCGTTGCTTTCGAAGAATTGTTACAATGGAACCCCACCTAATAGCTCTAGATTTCTGTATTTTACACCCTGGAGGCAAGCGCAAATAAATGCCCCACAAAACTTTGATTCCCTGAAGAAAGCAGAGCAGAAGGCCTGGAAACATTTTGACACGCCTCAGTTGCGTGCCACCGCACGCGCCATCCCCTTCATCTGAAGGCTCGTGTAAACGGGGCAGGTGGCAGATCTCAATTCTATTCTGGAATTACTTTGAGATAAGAGTTACAAACACTTCCCTGAAGTTTGTTTGTTCCATCAAGCTACTATGCGTTTTTAACGACACAATGTCTTGGTCCTCATAATTTTGGCCCACCCTGTGTATCGTATTGGTAGGGCACGTTTCCACCTACGCCAATATACACTGTTAGGCGCTGGTTAGTGCCTTCGAGATGAGTCAGCCGTGCGTTCGCATTTTCACTTGAATTCGAAGGGACCTGTTCTTGTCCACAGGGTCTGTCTAATGATTCGTGAGAAAAGGCTACTTCTGTTTCTTAGATCTCATAGCAGGTAATCTATTCTTGTTATCCCCCGTTTGAGATTCGTATTGATTTCCACATCCAGTTAGTCCCTCTTTTTCGGCTATCATCACAGAATTCACGCAATTTGGTCAAAGGTCAATTGTTCTATAAGATCTGTCACTAAATAATGGCCGACCTTAGAGAAATTCTGAATGCGTGGACTAGCAGAGCAACAGTAGTGGTATTAGGAACAATTTCAATGCATTAGATGATAGATTTGAGACGATGTCATGCTTTTGATCAGAGGAGTCAGCAACTCAAATATATGTTTAAGCTCACACCACCATGGTCCGGAGGCGTTGCTGGTCGTTCACCACCAGGAGAAGGATGTACTGGTAATGGAGTTCCTGATCAGCGTGGCTATGCATATTACCAATTGCCCTCTGCACGGGCCTTGATGGCTCACAGCCCTCCTTTGACTGTCATGGATGACGAGGTGAGTGAATGAACGGCTGCTCATTAGTTTCTACTCTACTGTCTTTTTTTACCTATAGCCAGCAGCAATATTTCAACTATTTTAAGACAGTAGCAGAACTGACGCGATTATCATCTGGTCGATTGGAACGCCTAGCGAGCGCGTTACGCGTAATTCGTCCTTTGCACATTGTATTTCGCGATCACTCGCTCTATAACCATCGCCCTACTCTGCTACTGATATGGTTTCTCAAGTTGTAAGTGTGATTTTATCGGATCATAATGGTTTATAAATCATATCAGAATCGTTTCATACGGTTTGTTGGTCTGAAAAAAGTCAAGTAAAGATGAGAAAATCTAAATGAACTGTTCAATATCGGTACCAACACCAACAAAGTCATGCAAAGAGTTAATTGTATTGTCTCACGCGGCAAATTTGTGTACGGTGCACTGTAAATACTGGTTGTCACTCGTACACATTGATCTTGTAATGTTTTGGAGAACATGAAACCGTTTTCGTTTACGTTCATGTTTTTTCGAACATTTCTTGAGACAGGCATATAAGATAGCTCATGAGCCGTACGTTATCATATTTCGAAACTTTGTATGCTTAGGTTCCTTCTATTGTGATCAGCTGAGTGTGCAACATTTTTTGAAATTCAGGCTCCAACCGTCGGTGCGTCGCGTAACGTTTGACGGCATTCAAGCTCATCACCTGATTCCGTTGCATAAGATATTCGACCTCAGCGGTATTGATGAGCTAAACGTCAACCAACCGGTTTGTTTTGTCTTTCTACTGAATTTGTTATATTTTTTGATTAACATCTTTTTTTCAGCGATTTTCTCCGGCAGTTTGTGTGTCTCATCGCTTATTAATGAACTGGCTGGCGTTGCCGTCACAGCACAGACGTAGACTTCGTATGCGGCTGTCCGGCTGTCGCACAATGACTGCGCGTGGTCTTGCTGTCTTTGTGAGGGTGCGCTAGCATCAGTCATATTTTGCTTACTTTTATGATCCCACTTTTCAATTCAAAATTTAATAGTTGCTTTTAGAGCTGGAAAGTCACTCCAGAGCCGTGTTTGTTTGACCAGATATCCATTGATCTTCGTTCAGTGCCAGTTTATGATTTCCTTGCTGAAATGGAAACTCCAACGAAGGATCCGGAAGAGGTATTTTCACGATGGTTCTTGCATGAATGTCCTAGAATTAGGAACACCTAGGCAGCGGGCAATCTTTACTGTTCCAGCCTGAGGATTGGCGGCCACCCACGCCACCTGCAGCTGCATACGGTCATGGACCAATGGCAGCAGCAAGCAGATGGACAAACTGCAAACTCACCGTGAAACACCGCAAAGGCAATGCCACACTGAATATGTGCGTAGCTGAAGGGTACGCAAGTCTTCTAATATTTGCTCACGGTCTCGTTACACGTGTGTATGTGCACAGGAAATTTTCCTTTTCAGATTTATCGTGCTCCAATGTAATTCAGTAGGGGAGCAGCGATCCACACAACAGGCATCTTCGTTGTGTCGAAGGAGTGTTCTTCCACGACCATCTTCTTCTCAATGTTTCGAGGCAAAAACGAAAGGCGGTGAGTGAGGGATTGTTTTCTGCATAGACTAGTAAGCTCCCTTTATTTTTGAGCAACTGCGAGCTAATGGGTGTGGCTCACTAGGACAGAAAGCGACTTTTTCGCGTTTCGCAGCGCGAAACATTGTTCGTTGCGGGAATCTCGGGTCCACTGATGATTCGCTGCGGGAACCTCGGGTCCACTGATGATCAGCGGTGGACCTGAGGTTCCCGCAGCGAAAATGTTTCGCGCTGCGAAACGCGAAAAAGTCGCTTTCTGTCCTAGTGAACCACACCCCGAGTTAATACCCTTCTGAGCTCTAAACATTGGTTCGAACATGGACGATTCCCTGTCTTAACGACAACATACTCATTTGTCAGCGATTCGTTATAGAAGGCAAACTCACCATGAGTGGGATGCACTGAGAAAAGCACCTTTCCGCATGGTTCTTATCCGAACATTCGTTTTCGGCTTGTAGACCTGCTTGTTTCAACTACTTGAAAATTTGTTGATAATGTAAACCAGGTAATGTTAGCATGTAGATAAGTAAGAGGTATTACAGGTTCGCTGCCACGTTCCGATCAATCACCGTTGAAACGAATCGACACAGATCCGCTACACCGTAGTTCCTCGGTGCTCGACAAGATGTTCGGCTTCTTGCTGCGTTCAAACGCATAACATGATGTGAGCAATGATAAGCTGAGCTTATTTCTGCCTGCCTACACACACCTGCCTTTGAAAACTGCTCGGTACACTGCTGTGCCCGTTGACGCTCGAACCGATGTGATTAATAATTAATGCTGTCCTTCCTATTCCAAATAATGTAGGCTACTGAGTTGTAAATAAGCCATTGTGTGCATCATTTCATAAGATTCCAAAGAAATTAGTGGCCTGCTCAGCTCGCTTGCTCGGCTTTAAGCTCAACTCAATTTTGCACGTGTCAGTAAAAAAGCGCTGATGAACACCCTCTCAATAGGCATCTTTCGAATTCGTGAGTGAAGCGATCTTTAGAAGTCTGAAAGCAGCTTCAGAATGTTTAGAATTCTTGGCATATCAATTTCTTGATTTATACACTGGTTTGTTTTACAACCATATAGCCTGCATATGCGCTTTATATAAGAAAAATAGCTTGTGTTTTGTCTATTTTGCGTCATTTTTCAAATTTTGAGGTTCTCTTTTTTGTAAGTAATAGTTTGCGAGAAATTTCACACGTCGATTGCTCAACACACGTGTGGTGAAAGTCGCATCGTCCATCCTTTTGCATCTTCGAACGACCACCACCAACATTGTGATTTACGATTTTGTCATCCTCATCTCTCGGTGAAGTCGCTACGTGTATAGTAAAGTAACGCTGCGGTATTATACGATGTTCATATGCTTGTACAGTAGAAAAGTTATGGTGTACATACATAAATGTTATTATTGTACGCATACATATATAAGTATACATTTTTATTTGTTAAGAAGTCCGTTTTCCATTGTTTGTTCGTATCTATGCGGCGTACGCAGCATTGCTATTTTGTTTTCAAATCCACTCCGCCTATCGATGTTGCTCGCCTCTGCTCTCTCTCTCTCTTTGATCATTGGTACGATCTCACGATGTATTGTTCTCAAATACAATTCTAATGACTATGTAAAAGGAAAACAATCGGGATAATCACGATAGCTGTCTCTATTGTAATCATGGCTGGCTATGTGCTGGGTAATCCGAAAGCTTTGCTCATTCTGTCGATGTTATATGCCACTTGTAAAGCAACGACCTGTAGTACTTTTCTAGTGCAGACTACTGAGCTAACATCACATCCGTGTTTTGGAAGTGGGAAAATTTTCATACTTTTCCTTTTCTCAAAGATTCCATACGGAAACGGTGTCAATCAGTTCAGTAGTAGGTACTGCCGTCATTCACAAAGGCGTCGTGAGTTTCCCGTTTTCAATGTTGTTCCGTTTGACCCGCCTGCAACTTGTATTCGTACCGGTGTCCGCTTTGTGCATGTCTTGCGTTACTTGTATGTGTATGTGTATCACTTTATCCTCTCCTTGCTCCGCCTTTCTATTGCTGCAACTCGTTTTCCACTAAGCTCTTTCAAGTAGCGTTTAGGTGGACAATGAGAGTCGCGGCCTCTTTGTTGTTCACACGTGGTCGTTTCTCTGAACGTCAATTGTACATCAATGACGAGATTTTTATGTAAGAATTGCACATAATTAATAATAATGTATGCTGCAAAACAAATGATGAGGAGCTTATCGTGATTTCGTGTGTCCGATAACGGTGTGTCTGTCCGAATTGGTTGTAATTAGCTGATATGCTTTGTTCTTTAGGGCGCAAAGGTTTTGCCTTGTAGTTCATTGTCAGACTAGGTCGGCAGTTTTTTTTTCTTGTACAGAATTTTTTGTTTGATGTTTAATGAATTTACCAGAAGTGTAATAAATATGTGAATGTTAGTGTTTTTGTGCAACTTTCTTCTACCATATACAGCTAATCTAATCTGCCTTCATTGAGCTGTAGCACATATGCTCATCTGTGGAGGTGGATGTGGCGAGTGTTTCTCCCGTCTTTTCTGCGAGGGCTATCTCGGAATCCAAGAAAACGTGATTCCACTATGCCATGTGTCCATATGGCGGCTAAAATGGATGGTGTCGGGCTTTTCTTGCGCACTGATGGGTGCAGCGACTTACAGAGGAGGGTTGAGATTTCTTGGTCAACGCAATGGGAGGGGCAAGCCCCGGGATAAAACTGGTGAATAAGAGCGCTTCACAGTGATGACTGAGCTGCGGAATGAACTAAAGTGGAAAGGACAGCAAAAGAAATCATCGGAAAAGCTAAAATTAAGGCCTTAACCCTCAGTGAGGTCTGATTTGGTGCGATGGTGAGACAAGGTGATCAAAGAAGGCAAAACGCGCGAGACACACCGAGCACGCTGATCAATCGCGAAGGGTGGGGAGCGTTGCAACGAGGGTCGATGGTTGCAGATCCGTAAGGATTAACGCCCGAATCGCTTAATTCCT